ATCTATTTCATTGTAATATTACAGGAAACTAAAGAAATTACATGTATTAATCAACATTGATTGAACATTGATTAAGCACTTGGTTTGCTTTCTCTCCAAATAACACAAGAATAAAAAGAACTAATTTTGAACTATATTTTGAGTGAATTGCATTCAATCATTTTATAACAAGAAGCTGAAATTGTCTTTTCACTAGGTGAGTGGATTGTTCCTTTTCTATGCTCTGTTTGGTAAGAGAGGCCTAGGTCCTGGTCCCAGCTGGCTGTGCGGTTGCCCAAGCTGAATCAAGAGCAGACAATAGCAGATCAAGAGGCCAGCAGAAGTTCCCTCAGAAGGCAAGCAGCAGGGAGACATGCTGGTTAGGAAGAACTTCTCTTCTGATTCATTTGGCTCTATCTTGTCCAGGGAATTAGCAAGTCCAACCTGGGGAAGAAGCTGTTTTTCCAATCTTTGCAGCCACACTCCCCAAAAGGGGTTCAATAAAAGAAGGGAAGTGCTCGGATACAAGGAAAAGGGATTGTCCCTGCTGAAGAATTCCCTTGAGAACTGAAGCGTTTTTGCCATCACTGTCTTCTTCATGCTGACTCTATTTGTTTCAGAATGGAAGTTCATTGTGCTCTCTTGGGTTATAGAGGTTTCCAGCGATGGGTCAACTCTGTCTTCTTTCTCTCTTCTAGGGAAACGGGCTTGCCCAGGGGAAGCCCTAGCTCGGGCAGAGCTCTCCCTCTTTCTTTCCACTCTGCTCCAGATGTTCACCTTCCAGCTGGTTGGGGGATACCAGCAAAGAGATGGATGTAATGTCTTTGTATGAGGACTACAGACGTAAAAATCGATATCCCCCAATATGAGCCATTACACGTTGAAAGTAAGCTTGTGATCAGTCAGGAGCCCAAGGAATGTCAGTGTAAACCATGTGAAATTCTTCCACCTGAGATTTCTTTCTTTTCTCAATCAGCTGCTCTCAGGTTCAAATGGGGAACACTCCGAGATATGAGTGGTCAAATGTGTGTGAGAGAAGCTAGAGGAGGTTATGAACCATTCTTTCCAATTTCCAGGCATTTCTTCAGTTTCACATAGTAAATGGACAATGCAGTAAATGCTTCCATATAATGTCACAGGGATGAATATGCATTCTATCTAATATATGCATTTTGTAAGCAATCCACATTTATACACACATTTTTACTCACTTTTTGTACACTGCAGGATAACATAGTAAATGGACAATGCAGTAAATGCTTCCATATAATGTCACAGGGATGAATATGCATTCTATCTAATATATGCATTTTGTAAGCAATCCACATTTATACACACATTTTTACTCACTTTTTGTACACTGCAGGATAGAATCCAGAGAAATGCAAATAATGAAAGATGGAAAGGCAAGGTATCTGGCTTTTCTCTAGCTAAATCAAATGACTAGTGTGAGCACTGCAGATATAAGTCCGAATGAAAGACTGACAGTGAACCAAAGAAACATGGTTTCTGTTGTCGTGGCTGCTCCTGCAGCTGTAACTAGTTCTCTGCTGTGCCTTCTTATCTATCACAAAGCTACTGCTTGCAAAACCTGGACTGGAGCATTTCCAAAACCTGTCTGGTCGTAAACATGTGAAAAACTTGGACTTTGACTGTGGACCCCTACATCCAGGCAGTGGAAA